ACAAGTCGGAGGCGGGCGACATCAGCACCTGAACCATGTCCTAGCGTTTACGGGATACGACCCTTCGATATAGCAAAGGATTAGACAAGATTTCAGCTTTTAGCAGCATCTCCCTTCTTCCCTAGATCATCATTCGCTCTCACTCCTTGCCGGGAAAGGTGATAATAATAGGAGGTAAAAAAAAAAAAATTTGAATCTGCCCTAAACCAAGCCAACACAACGGAGAATGGCCACATCGCACACAGAAAATTCGCTGCAGGGGTGAATGCCAAAAATCCATTAATATACATCGTATTATCCGTAATTTTTTCTTTATTTTTGCCCAAGAAAGGTTCAGATTTAGTTTTTGATACTTTGCCACACGCTTCCATAGTGATGGCCTTTGGTTATGTAAGTTTTTTTTTTTTTTGGTGGGGTCTGCTCGATAATATTAGATTTAATACACATGGCACAGTAGATAAAGGCGTTAGTTAGATCCAGTGACAGGACCCAAAGAGTGTGAGTTCAATACCCGGTTAAGGCAGTGGAGAACTTCGAGAGGGGAATTAACAGGGGATAACTGACAATTGATATCCATTAAGACATGGCACGTGGAACTAGAACAGTCTAACCCCAGTGAGCGAAATGAAAGGTTCAGCACGACATTCCAACCACCTGAAGAGGGCCGGAGCGTATAACAGCCGAAACGTTCTAATAAATATGGCAACAAAGATGAGGACAATAGTCCGAATAATGTAAATAGTGTACATAATACCTCATCTCAGAAATATAGACAGATACTGAGGGATCGGATAAATATGGCAACAAAGATGAGGACAATAGTCCATAATGCAGAATAATGTAAATAGTGTAAATAGTGTACATAATACCGGATCTCAGAAATATAGACAGATACTGAAGGATCGGCCGATGAATTTGGCAACAAAGATGAGGACAATAGTCCGAATAATGTAAATAGTGTACATAATACCTCATCTCAGAAATATAGACAGAAGGATCATATAGATTTAGAAGGATCAGATAAATATGGCTACATGCCATCAACCGTAACCTTAATAACTGAAAAACGAAGGATTTGTGGACATATTTACATGTTTATTCTTTTTCAGATACAATTGCAGTAAATGCTCTGTTTTTAATGAATTCAGGTCGGTAAATGTAATTAATACTATTCAATTAATAACAGAGCATTTACTTAAATTAGCTGTACCTATTAACGTATACACTGAAAATATATTAAATAATTGTCGGTCTTAAGCCATTTCATAATATATGTTGGCATTGTTTACGTTAAGATATGTTTCATGAGTAGAAATGATTGATCGGAAAAATATACGGTAATATATATACCGTTTGTATAGAGTAATTCGGACTTTGCTAATCTGACGCTTCTGTGTAGCTGAGTGGTACAGCACATCAGATCAAATGAGGGTTTCTGTATAGGAATACGGGTTCGATTCCTGTCGGAGAACGCATATTTTGTACGAAATTTCTCGAAAACTCAGGTCGGTAAATGTGATAAATACTGTTTAATTAAAAATAGAGCGTTTACTGAAATAAGTTGTATCTATAAACATATGAACAGAAAATACATTAAATAATTGTAGGAATGAATCCATTTTATTATATATATATATATATTAGGTCTATCATTGATATTGAGCGCTTTCCACTAAGTAATGCGCATATAAAATAATATATATATATATATATATATATACGTTTTCCGACGTATGATGGTTATGCAGTTCAATTCCTAGTATGTATATATATATATATATATATATATATAATATTAGTGGAAAATATACATACATATGAAAAATATATCTAAAAAATTCCCATACATGTATATTTTCAGAAAAAAATTTTCCAAGAGGAAGGATCCAGGTAGAACTCAATGTCTAGGACAGAGTAAGGATATAATAAAAAGGCTTAAACACTAATATTCTATGGTCATAATTTATTCCATTGGAATCGTAAATACGATCCAAATCATCAGACCTACAAATTCAAAATGAAAACAGAAAAAAAACAACTCCGAAATCAAAACAGAATTTAGAGAAAGTGTAAGTATGAGGATGAGTGACAGAGAGAATTTTTGGAGATGTGGGTGGGGTGGATTTAAAAAGAGGAGAGAAAGAAAAGTCGACGGATGTCTAATATATAAAGATACATTTCGTGGTGACATATACACACCACAGACAATTCGGATAGGAAGGGAAAAAAAAAAAAAAAAAAAAAAAAAAAAAAAAAAAAAAAGGGGGGGAGAGGGATGGGACGAAGGAAAATAAAAATGTGTTTACATAAAGGGGCCGCTTCGTAATTGGGAAAATTAAATCAAATATAAATATATGAAGATGAATATAACGATTGTCTCATTTCGCAAGGACCAAATATTTCTATGTTCAAAAACACATACTAATACACACTATATATATATGAAAGGTTATTAATTTCACAGTTTAAAAAAAGAAAGAAGGGGTTGTAACTCAAACACATGTACCCATAAAAAAATAACGTTTATAGCAATAATAAATTACGTGCGATTAAAAATCCATATATATATATATATATATATATATATATATATATATATATATATATATATATATATGTGAAAGAAAAACAGAAAAAAACAAAATTTACTGAATATGCATTATTAATGTTAAAATAAAGTCGACGTCTAAAAAACAGAATGGAATTTTTATCGAACTGTTTTTTAGAACTGTTCCATCGTTTTTAAAATCACTTTTGGATTTACATTGTAACGGGAAAAGACTTTCAAGCTTGTTGAAGATATAAGAACCAATTGATCACTACGTATTCCAACATCAACGGAAGAGATTTCTTTAATTGTTTATAAAATTTTTCATTCGACTTTTGATATTTTAATTTTTGGAAATCATCTTCGAATACGTCTTAACAACATCGCCCACGTGACTACGTGATCATATTTAAACAGAACGCTGATCTGTATAAAATTTCAGTTATCTGTCTGAATTAGTTGGGCTCTTATGTCCATCGTCTTTTGTGTTAAATTGTTATAAGTTATAATGTTAATTATGTTTAAATGAAAATGTCCATGAAGATGGTCTTAAATAGACCGAAACGTCCGACGTCGACTTTATTTTAACATTAATAATGCATATTCAGAATTTTGTTTTTTCTGTATTTTTCTTCATACTGTCGGATTTATATCCATATATTTGCTTACATATATATGTGTGTGTGTGTGTGTGTACATTCTCTTTAATTGATCGCTCTTTGCGAGTCAGTTTTAACGTATTTGAAATTCTATGTTTTGTTAATAGGACTCGACTGGATTATACCAACAATACCCCCCTCTCTCTCTCTCTCTCTCTCTCTCTCTCTCTATATATATATATATATATATATATATATATATATATATATATATATATATATATATATCACCAAACATAATCAAACAAAAACAAACATAAATAGATTCAATTTTAAAAAATTAAAACACTTTCTCTCATAATCGCGAAGACAGGACCACAAACTCATATCATAAAACTGAATATGTTAGTTCTATTGGCCCCATTACAATGTGTACTGCGCATATATATATATATATATATATATATATATATATATATATAAGTGTCCATAAAAGTTCGTGTGCACTTTAAAAAGTTTATAACTTTATTTGTATTTGCGATAGAAATAATCTGTAAAAAATGTTATAAAGTTTAATGTACCTAGTTTTAAGTCTAGCTAAAATAACTAATGTGATTTCAGGCATTACTGTAAATCAGTTGGCAAATGTTTTCCGTGAACTGCAAAATCGTATTACCCTTTGTATTGCAGATGATGGAGGACATGTGGAAACTAAAATGAAATTTCAACCTTAAAAATATAGATTTACTTCTTTCTAATAATTTTAACAAATTATTTCTATCGCAAATACAAATAAAGTTATAAGGTTTTTAAAGTGAACACGAACACTATGGACACCCTGTATGTATATATATATATATATATATATATATATATATATATATATATATATATATAATAATAATAATAATAATAACTGGCCAGTCGTATTCGAGGATACCAGTCTAGCCAATCCCTATTGCAGACGCCCGCTCAGGCTCATTTGTGTTTGTTCAACACCCACAGAGCCAACCTGTACGGTTTGTACTGCAACTATGCTGAGTAGACCTTAGTTACAGTTTCTGGGAGAGAGCCTGTTACCTAACATGATCAACAATTTGAACAAGGCCAGCACGATCAATATATATATATATATTGTTCACTGCTTCCAGCAAGCAGAAATATTTCTTCTGATGATGGCCATTTTGGCCGAAACTAGTCAAGGAATCTAAATGAAATAATAATAAAAAAAACGAAAGAATATTAATCTACAACCTAGTGTGTCTGAAGATATTAATTTTTTAATATTTTTATTGTTCAATATATATATATATATATATATATATATATATATATATATATATTTAAAATAAGTTAATTTATAATATATATATATATTACATGAATCATTCATACAAAAAGACAGATTAGTGAAGTTAATGATATAAATGGCGAGAATACATCTTCGCAAACAAATTTATTAAAATTACATTAACCCACGAACCTCTAGATGAATGTTATGATCCCTGTTTTTAATAAATTGAACTCGTATAAGGTCTTTTTTTTTTCTAGTACTTTCATCTTTTCATACAGATATCATCAGGCATGGAAATTGATTTCCTTTTTTTTTTTATAATACATCCACGTAATAACAGGACACAAAAAATTAGATGTGAATCGAAATATGTTTTGTTTAGAAATGTGTTATTGTTTTTTTGGAGCGTGCGGTCGCAACGCTAAGGTTGATTTTTTTTGAAAATTTTAAAAGAGAGTGCGTCTTTTACTTATTAATATATATATATATATATATATATATATATATATATATATATATGTATGTATGTATATAGGCTATATGTGCAATTAAGCAATATTTATTTTAAAATCTTAACGAAAGAGGCAGACAAAGTCTTACTGGGTTTGGATAGAGAAAAGTAATTAAGACGTAGGGAGAGAAAAATAAGAGGGGTAGAGAGTTGTAGAGGGAGAAAAGTAGAGGCTGAGAGAGAAGAAGAGTTAGAACGAAAGAAAAGTAGCAGACAGAGAGAGAGAGAGAGAGAGAGAGAGAGAGGGGCAGGAGAAATGTTAGTGAGTGGGGTAGAGAGAAAATTAGTAGAGAATGAAGGCACTAGAGAGATAGAAGATGTAGATAGATAGAAAGAGGTAGTATGAGAAAAGAAAAGAAGACATTCAGAGAAAGAAAGAGGGAGAGTGAGAAAGTGAGAGAGAGGAGGTCGAGAAAGGGAAACGTGAGAAAAGAGGAAAACAAGATGTCGAGAGAGAGAGAGAGAGAGAGAGAGAGAGAATGTTGAAAGAAGTGAAGAGAAAGAGAGAGGGGGAGAGAGACAGGTAGGTAAGCCAAGAGAAAAAGTGGCTGAGAGAGAAAGAGTTGAGAGAGAAAAGGCTAAACCTAAGAGAGTGATAGAAAGAGATAAAAGATATAGAGAGAATGAGATACAGAGAGAGAAAAGAGAGAGAAAGATGTAAGAAGTGGGAGAAAGAGAAGGGGGCAGATAGAGAAAAGAAGTGTTTGAAAGAAAGATAGAATTAGAGAGAGTGAGAGTGAGAGAGAGAGAGAGAGAAAAGAGGTGGTGAGTGAGAAAAAGCTAGTGAGTGAGACGAGGTTGAGAGAGAGAGAGTAAAAGGTAGAGAGAGAAGAGGAAGAACGGGCGATAATTAGAGAAAAGAAGAGATTGAGAAAAAAAGAGTTAGAAAGAGAAAAGAAGAGGTAGAGGGAAAGAAAGGATGAGTTAGAGAAGGCGAATAGGGAAAAAAAGAAGTAGAAAAAGAAGAGAGAAAAGGAAGAGAGAGAAAGAGGTAGATAAAGAAAGAAAAGGAGACGTACGGAGGGATAGAGATAGAAAGATCGACAGACAGACAGACTGACAGATAGATAGATAGATAGATAGATAGATAGATAGATAGATAGATAGATAGATAATGGGCAT